AAGAGTGTCCCACAAGAGTGTCCCACAAGAGTGCCCTACAAGAGTGTCCCACAAGAGTGTCCTACAAGAGTGTCCCACAAGAGTTTCCTACAAGAGTGTCCCACAAGAGTGTCCCACAAGAGTGTCCCACAAGAGTGTCCCACAAGAGTTTCCTACAAGAGTGTCCCACAAGAGTGTCCCAAATGAGTGTCCCACAGGAGTGTCCCACAAGAGTGTCCCGCAACAGTGTGGGACACTAGAGTGTCCCACAGGAGTGTCCCAGAAGAGTGTCCCACAAGAGTGCCCCACAAGAGTGTCCCACAAGAGTGTGCTACAAGAGTGTCCCACAAGAGTGTCCCACAAGAGTGTCCCGTAAGAGTGTCCCACAAGAGTTTCCTACAAGAGTGACCCACAAGAGTGTCCCACAAGAGTGTCCTACAAGAGTGTCATTTGGACATATGTAGCTTTTTGAACGTGTTTGCATTCGGGTTCGTGGGCTCCATCTTGTTATTATACATAAATATATAACAAAACGTTTGCTTTTGTGACCGGTAGTGGTGAGTTTGGTTGATGAGGATGATTGCAGGTCTTCCAAGCGGTTTCCAAGCTGCCCAGTTAAAGCCATGTTTGTGCCTACGGGAGGAAAACTGCACCCGTAGTGGTAGTGTTTTTGGCATATGCAGAATTGTCACTGTCACAGCATTGTCATCGGCTTCATAACATTGTCATCGCTTCACAACATTGTCATCGGAGTCATCCGCGCCATCTGATGACAATGTGTTTAAATTGGGTTGGTGGAAGGGTGGGTGGGTGGGTGGGTGGGTTGGGCAGCACTTATCATCGGTGTCATAACAGTGTCATCGGTTTCACAACATTGTCATCGGTTTCTTAACATGGTCATCGACTTCACAACAAATGCGAAGCATGATTTGCTGGCCACACTCACGGCGCACACGCTGCGCACGATGTGAAAAAGACTGAAGGGCGTGATGATGTTGAGTTTCCAAAACATGACATCTCAACTTGAGATATCTGACACAGGGTCTACATTGCAAATCGCAGATGAATTGTGAAGCCCAATGGAAATGCCATCATGTGGCAGTCTTTGAAGAGCAAACATGGGAAAAATACAGATTGCAGTCAGACGGATATTCCTGCTGCCGTGCCAAGCACATGTTCCGAATTCCACCCGCCGCGATGTTTGTGAATCAGCACCAAGAGAATCAAGAGAACCAAGAGGGTTGAACACGACACACGTGGTAGGTGCTGCAGAAAGGTATCAGATTGGTCCACCCTTTTTCAATGCTTGTCGAGCTTGTCAAGTCGATGAACCTAGGACTTACCCTTGGGGTGCAGTGCTTTCTTTGGCTTATGCCCTGACCTTGGGTGGAGAAAGCCCTCAGACACTTGGCTTCGATTTCGTCCAACAGTTGGTGGTCAGTTCACTCATTTGGTTTGTGGCGTATGTTTGTGCATGGGAGAGCCGTAACAGGGATCTCTATCTAAAACTTGTCTCTCTGGGTTTGTGATATTTTCTTTGAACTGGCTGTATTCTTAACACACAAAGGCGGCACTGCCAACGACAGTTCATGGCCTTTAGGAACGCACCAACTCCTGTCGCCTTGTTCCACGAAGAACAGATTTGGACGGACCGCCTCTCAGTCGCGCAGGGAAGCCTGGAATCAACTCACGCCAGAACTTGGTGGCTCCTTGCTTGCGCTTCAGCATCCCACAAACTAAGATAGCAACATAACATGGCCCACCACCGAGTAGAAATAACGTGAATAAATACACATTTATATAAACCACACATGGACGAGTCAAACTGTGAGTTCCCAGGTGGCGTTTTCAGGTGAAGCAAATCCCTTCGTGCACTTGTCAAGCCTTAGCCTTATAACTTATAGCCTGGGTGTGCGAAAAACACCAAGGTTACATTGCATTGTCATGTTCCTTTGCCTTGGCCCTGAACTTCTTGGGAACCTTTGTCCCTTGGCCATCGGAGACCGTTTTCGGTTTTCGCGGTTTTCGTGGATCTTGGGCTGAAGGCGAAAGACCGGCGGGCAGCAGCTTCGACAGCGAACACTTCATGTTTCCTGTGGTCACCCAGAGTCGCTTTTTCCGGTGAAACAGATTTATGGGACACCCTTGATCTTGGTAACAGCGAAGTCGATTTCATGTGGCCCAGGCTTTACATGAGTTGGGCGCCAGTGCTCAGCAGATCGTGGGTAAGTGCCTGGGCGAAGTGGAAGGGAGCGACCGTCGTGCGTTGGAGGCGAAGTCATGGAGGCGAAAGTCATGGAGTTGGTCACAGAATCAGGCCAAGCCTCCCAGACTGTCGCAAGTGAGATGAAAACAGACCCGTCCTCCTTTGAGACCGAACGTTAAGCAGGGCCGAGCTGCCGACCCGGTCTCCAAGAGGCCTCCATTGGGGACCCACTCACCTGAACAAACAGAGTCTGTTGGGCCACAGGATGCAACCCATGCAACCCATGCCCCGCGCCATGGCTCATGAGGCTCATAAGGCTCAGCCCCAGGATGCCGCTCCTTGAAGAAGGAGCGCCCCCCTTCTTGCAGCAAAGCGCCAGAGATCCCACCAAGCCATTCAGATCCATTTAGGCTGAATACCATCTGCTTGGCCTCCATCTCGGTGGCCTTCCTTGGGGAGCATCTTCCCGTGGTGGTGGTCGTGGGAAGTGCACTGGCCTCTCGGCTGAGTCCCTGGTAGAAGAGAATCCAGAATCAGAAGATGAGACAGTTCACCTTGATTCGGTCAAAAAGAACGTGACATGAGAATGGCCCAGAACACAACGTGATGATCTCCTTGAAAGGTTCAGTGGGGTCCTTTAAGGTTTAAGGAGCATCCCGCGGGATGCTTGTCGGGGCGCTTCAGAGTCTTCTTTGCCTTGTTGAGGTTCTTGGTGGGGTGGCCATCTTTGAACGAGGGCAGCATGACGTGGGCCACGAGGACGACTCCGTGCCAGCCTCAGCTGGACGAGCCACGATGCAGCTCGGTCGAGCGAAGTCAAACACTGAGCTCGTTGGGCTCGTTGGGCTCGTTGGGCTCGTTGGGGCTCGTCCAGCTCGACCGCTCAGTTGAATTGCCACCCCCCCCCACGCTCCCAGGACACGGAGAGCGACCTTGAAGAAAGCCTTGAACCGATCAAGCCTTTGCGGTAGAGGCGGTCATTGTCGGGATGGAGGGGTGTTCTTCACCGCCACCGTCATGGTCGTGGTAGCAAACGAGGTCCCTCCAGTTCCTGCAGGTTACTTCCTACCGTTTCTGACTCTCAAGGACTGGAGGTGGAGTCCTTAGGACTCCTAGTAGCTTCCTAGTCGTTCTGTTCGAACCGTCGAAGGCCAGCGGCCATCCTGGCGCTGCGAGACCAAAGACTGTCTCAATGGCGTGAGTCGCTGAGAGGCCCGGGAGGCCGACAGGGTGAAGTGCTTGGTGATCTGGAAGGCAGCACCTGTGCAAAGCACCGGCTTGGCCGTCTTTCTAGATCCGAGTCCGAAGCTCAAAGTGGCTTCAATAGTTGGTTTGACCGTTTCATGCGAAAAGTTGAGTCCTTAGAGACCAACTGCAGCAGTTGGTCGACTCCTCGATACATTTCAGTCATGTAAAAGGTCTTAGACACGAAGCTGCCGACCACTTTACCACAGCAATACCAGTGAGTTCGTGTATAAGCAAGCGAAGGAGGTTCTCCATGCCCCTTGTCAAGGCCTTTCCAGAAAGATCCAGCCTCTCACTGAATTTTTAGCCCGCCAACGTGTGAAACTACCCGGTCATGGAATGAGACAAAGAGCCGCAATCCACCACACTAGACGTTCCTTCCATTCTGTTTCTGCACAACCTGACGCACATCGTACCTGACGCAGCCTCGTCTGACGACCGAAGGACCCCCCTCCCACAGTTGGACAGAAAAGATGCGCAGGGCCGGGCCTGGTGTTGAGTTCAGCAAACTGACAGGGCTCCCGTCAGTTCGCCCAACCGATCGATCTGGCCGCCAACTCTGGCGACCCCTCGGAGAGCGAAGAAGCAAGAGCTTATGAACATCGCGGGGCAGAGTCTGTCTGCAGCCAGACCTCGGTCTTCGCCTTTCAGGAGTTCACTCTTGGTGAAAGAGCGTACGTTCCTCAACAACTGAGTTTTCACTCTGTGGGTTTTGAGCCTTTGACTCCAGTCCCTTTTCTATTCATTTTTCACTGTGAAATCACTCTTTGACGGGTGATTATGCTTGATGATTCTTCAATTTCTGGGATTGGAATAAACGTTGTCTTTTTTTTTGGAGCCTTGCAGCTACCTCGTTTTACAGTACCTTTTTCACCCTTCAACTCAACTGGGTAGGCCCAACGGCCACTTGTCTCAGCCAGACAAAGGTGGCTTTGGTAAAAGCGACGTCAAACAAACATGTGTCTTTTCATATCGGCAGCGGCCAACCATTCGGGCTCCAAGTGAAGGAAACAAAGAGTTTCCTCTTGCGAACAGCATGCGAAAAGTGTTTGGACGTTTTCCAACAAGAATGAAGTGTTTCGCAACCACCGGAAAAGCCACCTGAGATCGCATCCAGGTAGCCAAACGAACTCACATCCAGAAGTAGCCTGACAAAGTTGTTAGCAGCGAAGCCAACCACGACTTTACCCCCTCCCCTGCACAGCAGAGAGGCCAGGCCATTCGCAAGAATTCCCCACCTTTGCATGAGAATTGGCCACCTGCGCCATGCGACGCCTGGAACATGCAGGCGCCCCACCAGCAACCTGAAAGCCAATGAGGTCAGTGCTTGGTCGGTGGGTCCACGAAAATTCCATATGTCTCAGCTGCTGGTCGATGAATCCACCTGGTGAATAGCTGATTCTTAAGGAACACCTCACTTCAGTCCTGATTCGTTCCTCGCTTTTTGGCGGGTGCTCCGTCTCTCACTTCGCCTCACCCTCGCTTCCGTCTCGGCCGCGAGCGAACCACCTCGCTGACCTCGCCGGCGACCCGACCTGACCCGGTCCAGGCACGGCAGCGTCCCAGCTCAGCGCCGGGGAGCAAAAGCGTCCGGCACCGGCGGCGCTCCAGCGCTGAGCGTCCGGAGGCCGGAGAAGCTTGCGCCGGTGAAGCTGCTGGGGAACGGGTGAGGAGACGTAGGGCCGTAGGGTTTCGGTGGACACGTGGCGATGTCCGCAGCCTGTGGTGGAAAAGGACTCGGTGGAGATGTGTGGAGATGTTGGGAGAAAGTCATGAGGAAGTCGGCGGAGAGCCCTATACTATGTGGTATGATGTGGTATGGTCCGATTTTTCCTTTACCAGGGAATAAACATGGGCGCCCCATGGCTTGGAGGGTAGAGCCATTTGGGAGAAACCATTCTCTTCAGCTCCAGCCTACATCAGAGAGCTCGGAGTTTGGTCCTGCTGCCATTGGAACAGCCTCACATCTGACACAACCAGGATTCGCACAATCTCTTCACTCCCCGCTCCGGAGATGGGGTGAAGAACTATGAAGAACTGATTTGGTTGTGCGATCTTTCACCACATATCTGTCACAGGACGTTTTATTCTGAGCGAGGGCATCATCTCTGCGGAACCGTGCGCTGCGACTTCCGCTGATTGGTTCAGGCAGAGGATGCCAGAGATACTGACAATGTGAACCACCTCCTGACTGTGCAGGCGAACTGGGCAGGACACCTTTTCGTGGCCGGTCGGTGGGGACCGCCGGAGAAGTCCCAGGTAGAGAAGCTCCTCCACTCTGTGTATGTTGACGGTTGATGAATCAAGCTAACCATTCATATGAAGGTGTCGAACTATCCTGGTAGGTCTTTTTTACTCGACCGTCAACAAGAGTCAACTCTTTGTCGCTTTCGTCCCCTTCACAACACCCAGTTTTCAGCACGTCTGACACGACGCCGCAGCTCGGCCGCAGCGCCGTCGTCGCGTCAGGGAAGCCCCAAGAAGGTGAAGTTCGTCGAGGAGACGAGACCGTCCCGTTCGATGAACCGATGAAAGTCGTTTTTTGGATCGGGCGAGACGATGTCGCGAGACTCATGTGATATGATTATCGGTGAATATCAGTTATATATATATATATGTATATTTAAGCTTCCAACTGCGCAACAGAGCAACAAGGATGAACAATTCCACACTATGATCAACTACTTCCATGGATGAACAGGGTCTGGTCATAGTCTGGAAGTAGCTCGGTGCACCCACCCGGGAGTTGACTCCCCCTCCCCGGTCTCGATGGTTTCATCCTGGGAAGGGAAGGTGGGACACGACACGAGCGGAGACGGGACGCAGGTGAACCTTCCAGGTCGTTCACATCGCGCTTTAGACCGCAAAGCTGGACCATGAAAGAACAGGTGTTAGATCTGATGCAGATAACGCCCAGAACATCCGGCTGAATGCCAGGCGTAAGACAGCATGCTTCAGACGTGTGTGAGACAGCGGCTCCACTCTTCATCCGGAGCCGCCCAGACAGCGGTGGGACGAAACCCACCTCCGAAGGGGTGCCTTTTTGAGTGGAAGGCCCCCGGCCGCGCAGGGCGCCAACTTAGCGCCGCGGGGCAGTGCACAGGCCGTGGCACGCTTCGCTGGAGAGCCGAGGGAAGAGATGGAACGGGAAGCTACTACAGTAGGGGCTCCGGGCCTTACTGGGAGCGATCGGACGCTACGAACGGGGCTCTTGGCATTCCTACATTTAGACTTACTAGTACTCGTAACAAGAAGCTACTAGGGGCTCCTGGCCTTACTACTAGGAGCGATCGGACGCTACGCTCGGGCTGGCATCGCTACGTTCGGAGCATTCTTAGTTAGTAACAAGAGGCTACTAAGGTCATTTCCCACATCTCCCGGTCCCAGTGGCCCGGAAAGAGGGGGTACAGGTCTCGTTTGCTCGAAACGATGGGCTCCCTATCGAGGGAGTCGTCATGTTCCACACGAAAGTCATGTGGATCTGGTTTTCCAGATTGTCTTAATTGTTCCGAAGGACTCTAGGGCATCACACACTTTTTTTAAACATCAATTCAGTTTGACTATGAAGTCCAAAGAACTACATTTCCCTAAACAAGTAGCTCAACTATGGAAGATAACTGCTTGACATTGACATCTCTGGATGCTCCCACTGTGCTGCAATCTTTGTGAGAACAAATCCCAGGTGCAGGACTCTGCAACAGTATGAATAACAATGACCACATGGAATGGTTCAAGTGCAAAACAATGTCTCTTAGATAGGGTTACTTTAATCCACAGAATCGCTCGCGTTACAGGTTTGAACCCCGAAACACAGGTCAGCTAAAAAAGACACTCCATGAGGACTTAGAAGGGAGAGATGGTACTTTCACCAAAAACACACTCCATGACTTGCTGCAAAGTACGACGTACGACCCGAGGGCGTACGCGGAAAATCCCTCAGTCGCAGTCGCGCGTCGTGCCTCGTCGGCACCGGGTCAGTCCCTCGACCACGGAAGTCTCCCCAAGGCCCTTCAACAGTGCCAACATCGATTGCAAGTGGCCACGACGCAGCGGGGCCCATGACTTCACACAGAACTGGTTTCTTCTCTTCTCTTGTTCCCTCAAAGGTTTCGTGTGAGGAAGAAAACCAGGTTGGTGAAGACTTCCAGAGTACTGTGAGGGCCCCCTCAAATCCGGTGACCAAAGGGTGCTGTGCTCGGGTTTTCTCACAGAGTCAAGAGCTTTTGGTCGGCCACGATCGATGCTCACACCACCAGAACTCGGGGCCACAAACTGGGGCAAATTGGTCCCCTTGCGAGGTTCGTAGCTTCTTGTTACGTTCGTAGCAATGGCCTCCAACCTACAGTACTTGCGATGGCCTCCACCTAATAGCTTCTTTTTTGTAACCGCCCCAGAAGCTGCACCTTTTGAGCCGCACTGATTCCAGAAACCAGACGAAACGCCGGCACCCCTTTTGAGGCTCCGCCGAGGGGACCGGCTGTCGCCCCGCTCGGGCAAGCTCTACCGGCCCTCCTCAGCACAGGCGTGGCGTCCGGTGACGGTCCGTGACGGACGCGTCTTGGTGTAGAAACCGGGTGCCAAAGAGGCGTCAACGGCGGCTCTGTTTCAGAGGAACGGGATGAACCTGGCTCTTTGGAGACTTCAGAAAAGACCAGTTCAATTTGATGTAAAGAGATGCAAACCATCGTGATACTCAGAGGAATATTTATTTTGTTATTGTTGTAGAGCCTTTTCGCTGGGGTCAAAGGCTAGCAAATCCTCGGTTCATCCTTCTGGAACGATCACTCTCTTGAGTGGCGGAGAGACATGAATCTTGGAATGAGCAAATCATGAGCCCGCAGGAGAGCAGTGCCGTTCAGATTTTTTGCAAACAAGGTTTTGGGGTACGCCTTTCTGTCACCGTACCCCCAAAACAGCCCTGCAGCCGGGCCGGTTGATTCTCAAAGGTGGACGTTTGTTTGATGTTTGGTTCAGGCTCAACTGTCCGCCCAGCTGATCGGGCCTTGTTGGGATGACTCTGTGATTTCTGCACCGTTTTCTATTGCACCTGCACGTGTTCAGGTGAATTTCCAGCGAACAGCCGTCGGCAATCTCCAAGTGGTTTATCCACCAACCACGGAGGCACGATCAGCGCAGGCACTCGACCAAAGAGCCGAACCAACCAGTGGTTGAGTAAGCAATTGGCTTACCATTTACTAAGTGGTTGCGTTGGACATGCGTTGGACATGCCGTTGGACGTTCCTGGACATGTGCGGAGCGAGCTTAAGGTTTTGACATGCTTCCCTTGTTTTGTCACATTTGTATGTTTTTTGCAGATGCCGGTGTCTCAGGTGCTCTCCATGGTAAGGCCGGGCGGATCAATTGATGTGATTGTTTGTTGACTTCCAGAACGATACCGGCCTTTTCTGCGGAAACTTCGCGGCGTTTTACGCGGCGTGGCGTTTTTCTCGACCTGTTCAGGAAGATGGATGGGGAGGTTGAAGAAGACTTTGAGGAGGAGAAGCAGATGGAACACCAGCGCGGGCTTGGTTTCAGACATCACCAGTGGGTTTCCTCCTCCTCCTCTTCACGTTTGGACCGTTGGACCATCCTGTTTCCAGTGATCGGGTGGCGAGTGTCAAACGACCCTGAACCGATCCATCCGCCATTCCAGACGCCAAATAGACTGTGTTCAGCGTTGAATCCATCCGCCTGGCTACTTTGGCCAAGTGCTTTGGCCGATGTTTTCGCGCGCCGTCAGACGGCGCGTGGAAGGTCCGCACGCGCTTGTTCCCTGGCAGGATCCAGCGGAACAAGCTGAGGCGAGTGATCGATGCTGACACGATGGGCCGATGACTTGAGCCTTTGGGGGTGGCACACAATGTACTTGATGAAACCTCTCCTGGTGAATCAGATGGAACTAGAAGAATTAACGGGGGGGCGAAGAACGAGATGAGAGGCACTTCGTATTGCAGAGTTTTCCCTTTTCTTTTTCAGGAAAGAACACAACACCTACTATAGGGGGATTCTTGGGCCAACTCTTCGAACATGGGCGGGTCGAAAGTTTTGTTTTCGAGGCGGGTCGTTCTTCGTGTTGCAGGGAGGACCAGGGGGGTCTTACCAAAAGGGGGTTCTGTAATCATGGGTTGTGTTAGTGGGAGGTCATTCCCGAGACAGCTCATGACAGAATCGTTCGTTTGACACCCGCTGTGTTGGATGATGGCTTTTTCAACACCCAAGAGGGACCAAAACGAGAAGGAGAAACTGGCCATTCTCTACCCACCAGGAGGTTGAAGACTATGAACACCTCCCAGAAACTCGGGAACGCAGGGCCCAAGCTTTGTTTCCTTAGATCATCTTAGATCAATTGATAAACCATGCCTACGGGCTCAGCTGATGGTCCAGTTTGCACTGCTGGGTCCAGGTGGAAGTGGAAGAATCGAACTGCACCGACACGCCGTCCATGGGCGGTGTACAGGAGATGGCCAAATCGGGATGTTTTTAATCCATATTTTTCTTGGTGCCTCATTCTGTTGCAGAGATGCATGAGGCACAGAGCCACAATTTTCTGTTCGAGGCAATTGTGCAGTGTGTGATCGACTGCCCAATTGTCGTTCTCATTTTGTCCAACAATTGGACATTGCCCACCAGCTCACATACTGTTCGCCAGGATTTGGATTGCCATGTGAGGAAGATCTGGTTCATGTACCAAGAGCAGGAGGACGTGCGGGTTTCATGAAACCGGGAGAGGTTTCATCAGGTAAGCCACTTGGATGCTCAAAAACTCAGAGGTTCAAGTTCGTGGGCTCGGCGCTGGGGGTACTAGAACGAAGCATAGAGCTCTCGCAGCAGCCTCACCAGTCTGGATGTCCGGAAGGAAGCGACAGATGAGAAAGACAAAGCGCTTTTACTCGCTCTGCCTGGAAGCTTGGGAGAACTGGGACTTTGCGCGTCTGAGATGTTTTATTTTTTACTTTTTAGACTAAAAAGGTGGTGGACCAACAACTCACGGACCAACAACTCATGAAAAACAGTGGTTGGTTCAGGCTGTTGCTGGTGGTGTGGCATGTTGTAGAGTTGTTTTATTAAACAGGTTGTGTGGCATGACTCTACAAGCAACCCACAAGACTCTACACGTCCATTCCTAGTGAAGTACCCAACCCTTGCACTTCACCCCTTTTCCAACCCGTGCACTTCGGTGACGACACGTGACGACCCAACTACCCAGCGCCGGCCGGCGGTCTGCCGCGGACCACGGCAGATCCGACCGAGGCGCGGACCAGATGATGAAGATCGAGAGGAAGCCTTACTGCTGCCCGGCATGCACCCAACTGCTCGGACCAGATGAGATGAGCGGACCAGACCAGCCGGTTTTGGGTGAACCATCACCCACCTCCCTGGTGGCGAATGATGGATATGGAGTGAGAACCACCTGGTTGGTGAAGGTTCAAACGTTCATCCTTGCGGGGCCATGCCATCCACTGGCATAGATACAAAGCCTTTCCCCATTGGAGTTTTCTAGATAGTGAGATTCCAACTCAGAAGAGCAAACGATTCCAACTCAGATAGCCAAGTTTGTTTACTTGGGCGAAACCGTTTCGTGCCGTTTCTTTGGGCCTACTGTCTTGAACCACAAATCTTCCTACTGAACCTGGAAGGAAATGAGAAACCTGGTCGACCTTGATTTCACTTGACAAGATCTGAGAACCGAAAGCCGTGACGTTTCCCAGCAAACATCACCACGAAGATCCCGTTTCTGGTGGTGGTTTGGTGGTGTCAAAGCTCGAAGAACAGTTTCGTCACCCCAAAAAGAGCTGGGCAGATGTAAGATGATGTGAAGATCATTGAGGATCTATGGCTGTGGCGGATGAGTGGTGTTTACTTCCTGCTTCGCTGCATTTCAGGAACGAGATGAAGCAGTTGAAGACCGGGGAGGACAAAGACGTCGAGCGTTTTGAGGGCCGAAAGCAGCGGGGGTTCAAGGCACAAGGCAAGATCACCCACGAGAGCCAAGGGGACATGTTTCCCTCATTGTGGGAACACCAGCAGTAGGGGACATGTCGGACATCTCATCTTGGGGTTGGCAGCCAACAAGGTAGTCTAGCTCCTTGTTGGACTGTCAGCGGCAAGGTCTATGCGGCTCCGCCGTTCAGCTGCGATCGCCATTCTCAGGATGCGATCGCCTTCTTCGCCAAGCATGGAGACCAGTCGGACTTGCAGGTGGATTTCCCAAGCACGGACCGCTGCATTCTTCTGGTGGTTTTTCTTGTGGTGGTTTTTCAAGACCCAAGCAGTTTTGGGCGCTGTGCTTGGTTCTAAGTCAAGTGGTTTTGGGCTTCGTTCGTGTTCGCGTTGAGACACACCCATTTAGTTCAGCTGTCTATGCCAAGCAACCACCTGCGACTGGGCTGAGATTTTCTCGGATGCTGCGATGTGTTCATGCTTGGCACAGGTCATTCATTGTGTGGCAGCTCATGTGGAAGAGGGCCAATTCCGGCCCTACGACTTAGTCGTTGTGGATGAGAAGGAGGGCCGGATGGGCAAAAACGCTGATCCTGGTACTTTCGGCAAGTGCGCATTTGTGAATTTGATAGGCTTGACCCTTGATGACGTGAGCACTGCCGTTTCCATCAGTAATTGGTGTGGTACGAGAAAGAGAGCATGCCAGATGGCTGCCAAAAACATGCTGATTATATATATATATATATAGATGTTACTATCACCGAAACCGAACACCCAGTTTTCAATGCAATGCAGACCCTCTGTAGTCCTTGCGGGTCATTCCACAGGTGCTCCATGACCTGTTCCCCACAAGCTTCTCTCGCTAACTGACCGTTGTGTAATGATATGACATGATGATATGCGTATTATATATATAACCATATAGTAGTATATACCCTCTTTTCAATTCTACCAAGAGTGCATGGGTGTGTACAGTTCTTTGATTGTTGTTGGTTTCTTAGTTTCTCAAAAATAAGTTGGCAATCATTTTACAAGGATCTCTTTCCAGTACCATTGGACCATATGTGTACAGTCTATATATAACTACATATTTCACACAGAGAAAGATGCACGTGCATGGACTGAGATATATGGACTGACTTGACATGAACTGATATATATATATATATTGATATATAGACGTGACGTAGACATAGCCTTTTCCCTTGATCCATTTGTACTAACCAACTTGGCTGCCTCAAGCAAGCTCCCTTTCATTGCTTTTTTGCGCCAGAGGCGATTGAATGCTGTCAAATTGGACGTGAGGCAACAAATCGTAATGGCGACCACTGGAGATGCAAGAAATATTCTTCAAAGCTGTCTGAGTTCTGTCACCGTGTTTGCTTGTATCCCCCAGGCCCGTTTGCTTCATCAGTGTATTGAGTAGAAAGGTTGCTAACCTCGAGCAACACTAGCAGTGGCTTCTCATCTGGACACTACCATTGGCAAGTATGGTGGCAAAGCCTGGATGTTGAACAAGGTCGAGTTCACACGCGTCCTGCCACATGCTTGAGCCAACATCGACAGGTGGCCATCTTGGAGGCGTGAAGCACGACAAATCTGGGGGGGGTTTCTCATGTCTTCCTTATGGCTTGCCATGTGAAGATTTTGGGTGCATGCTCTATGTGCGCAAGGTGAGTCCTTTGAAGGACCTTTCAACTCGCCTGTGGACGCGGAGAGTAGTCCTGCGTGCGTTCAAGCACTTCTGTGGTGCCAATCACCGAGGGCGCCGAAGCTAGCCGCCAGGAAGCTTTTTCAAGCTGTCATGGACGCAAAAGCTAGGGGCCAGGAAGCTTCAGCTTGAATTGTTGTTTAATGATGTTTAATGTTGTTTACCTAGGCTTGCTTAGCAAGCAGGGATTTCGGGACCCGTTGGGTTGTGGAAAGCTGGGAAGGTCACGGGCCGCTAACAGCGTGCGCGTTCGAGCGCCCAACTTGGCACCTGACAGCTTTGCTCTACAGCACCCGCGCAACATCGGGCTTTCGGCAGGGGTGGCCGTCCCCTTTCCATATCCTGTTCTCGATCACATTCTGTATATATATATATTGATATATGTAGTATCTTTGTTTGGAGGGAAATGGTTTCTGGAACATGCAGTCTCCTCTCTACTTTTCAGTTGAACCGCTTCTGCCATTGCAAGCGGGCCTCTTCCTATTCTTGTGTTGTTTCCGTTTACAGCTTCTTTGGTGACCATAGTGTATATTTATATATGATTATACACACATATGTTTACCAGACTAATATATGCTATTTACTTATTTATATACACATACATTCTGATTCTTTCGGTGTTGATGTGTGAGAAGCAGAGGAGTTTGGCCCAAACTGTCTTTTTGTTTCGTGTTCTTCTTCCTTACTCCAACCGTCCAACCGACAGATCCCTGTGACTCCGGGCCCGTTGCTCACCAGGACAAAGGCAATGAGTACTTCATGATTTCTCCCAAGGGCATTGTCCACATCTGCCCTGGGAAGCAGTCCGAGCACACCACACTCACCAGCTGGCTGCTGGGCAGTCCAAACCGGTGCCGGGAGGTTGCGGACGATTTCACCGGGAGTCCGAGAGTTGCCAGCAGCTTTATCATCGAAGAGAGGTGGATTCAGCGATCAAACATGTGTGAAACACATAGTAGTTCGTAGTTTTTGGAATCGGTGTGGTGTGGCTGAGCGGAATTTTGTGGTGTGGAGGGTTAGTAGAGATGTTAGGAGGCTTCGAAGGTTGCAGCCAATTGAGATCAAAGAGTAAGACAGTAAGACTCTGGCATCATCCGCAGATTCTGTTCAGTTCTTTTCTTTGACCAGTGGGTTCACATTGACATTTAAAACCACCAGAAGAGTTACTAGACTCAACGCCCAAGGTTTCGGGGAAAGAGCAGGAACCTTCTATTTTGGCACCCATTTTCTTTCAATGAAACACAACAACCACAACAACACCAACACCACCACCACCACCACCACCACCAACAACAACAACAACAACAACAACAAAACAACAAACAAATAAAAACCAAAAATAACAACAAAAGCAAAAACACAATCACAACGACAACAACAGCAACAACAACATGAAGGACAAGAAGAACAATAACAACAATAACAACACGAACAAGAAGAACAGCAACAAGAACAACAACAAGAACAACAATAAGAACAACAAGAAGAACAACAAGAATAACAACAAACACAATAACAAGAACAATCACAAGAACAAGAACAACCAACAACAACAACCACAACAACAACAACCACCACCACCACAACAACAACAACAACCACAACAACCACAACAACCACAACAACCACAACAACCACAACCACCACAACCACCACAACCACCACAACCACCACCACCACCACCACAACAACAACAACAACAATCACAACGTTATTCCATCGGTTTCTGTGACAATTCTAGACACTCCTATTCTGCAGTTCTTGCCGCTGAGATTGAATCCCTTTTGTTTTGAGATTGGCTTGCGCCGCCTAGGATGCACCAAGTCATGATCTACACAGCTGCTCCATCGCAGTCCTGCTGACGAACCGACCCGAACGTGTCGATGTGTTGGGGCTCGATGGGCACGACGGTCACATCCACCCCCCTGGTGAGAACAGGAAACAGGCCCATCCGCTGCAATCGGTGAATACCATCAATATCCATCAATTCAACCCCACGTGTGATGTTGCGGGAGTTTTCCAAGTCCTTGGTCACTGTAGTCACTGTAGTCCTCAGTCTTGAGCCAAACATGCTTCCTCCAACCGAGGTTCTGGTTTCCATGTCCTTCTTCCGCCACTACTTGAGAGGCCGACACGTACACAGAAGTTGAGTGGTCTCAAGGATTCCCCTAACTGTAAGTGTGGCAGGTCTCCGCTGAATCGGATTCCGCTTTTCTTCGGTACCGTTCAGTGGCAGGTTTGGAACTGCTTCAGAGATTTTAGATTGAGATCAGCACGGGGTTGGTTCACCTGAGTTCACCCTCCAGCTGCGTCCCGCCAAAAAGCTGTTTTAGTTCAAGCTCCGTGCAGCCAGAACGCTCCGGCTTTGACCATGTCAGAGCTGCCATCGTTCAAGTGGCTCATCTTTGGCTGCGGAGGGGTGGGTGGCTATTTTGGAGCACGGATCGCGCAGGTGAAAGGACAGCGTGTCAGCTACATTGCTCCTTGGTGAAGCACTTGTGAAGCATTCTTCTTTCCGCCTTTTTCCAATTTTTTGAGGAATCTTGCCACAACTTTTCCAATGTGTTTTGGCGGTCAAAACCTATTGGACAATCTTGGGATATATTCATTTCAGTCTTCATGTTTTGATGTGCATGAAGGGAGAAAGCTGGACTCAAGCTTTGTGGGACTTCCCGCAACAGCCATCTCAGGTGAGAAACAAAGCCTTGGCTGCTCTCAAGGAGCACGGAGTTCGAATCACCAGCATTTGCGGTGACGTGCAGGTGTGTGGCTGTTGTTCGCCGCGCCCTGTGTCGTATCTACTGGTACAGTTGTTGTGCTTTTCTGATTTCGAGTTAATCGGTCGGTGCGTGAATTCATCATCCACATCCTGTTTGGCTACTTTTGGACCTCCACATGGGTGCAAAAAGGGGCGACAACATGCTGTTTGGCTCCCTTTTTTCTGGCCGCAGCGGAGCAGTTTGCGCAGAAACTTCCACCTGAGGACCTGACAAAGATAGGAAGTAGAGAGTGGGTAGGGGATGGTAGGGGTTTGAGGTGAGGATGGAGGGGGATCAACTTCGCAGAGGTTCTCCGTAGTGACCCTCGAAAAGATGGATAGACAAGTGTTATGTTGAGGATGACTACAGGTGCATATATATTATATATATACATATGTAAGAACAGTGCCTGCCTTGGTCCAATGTGCACTTGAAATGCCCCCGGTTCTCTCGACCACCTTCCAACTTGCGAGTGCTTCCATCAACCCAAAATGTTCCGCCGCCACTGTTTCTTTCTGGGGCAGGTCCAAAACCCGAAAAAGGACCCATCGTTCAGTCGCCCGGGTGGTTCCACTCAGTCAACATTTCGGAAGTGAGTGAACTCAGCAACTCAGCCTCTCGTTGCACGGGTTCCACGCACGCGTTCCACGGCGCCAGGTGCCGCCCTCGGAGTTGGGGCCCATCTTGGATTCCCAGGCGTTGGACAAAGAAGAGAAGTTCGTGGCAGATGTCATCATGTTAGGCACGTGTGCGGATGTATGTTTGTTGCGCGGATGGTATCGATGTGTGTCTTTGGATGTGGGTGCCATTCAGAGCCTGCCTCTGAAAGAGAAGAGCACCACCTACGCGGGTGCCATTAGAACTCCAAGCTCTCGTGTCGGCCCTTTTCTGGACCTTTTCTTGACCTTCACCAGGAGTCCTGCGGACCTAGCCACAGGGGGGGTTGCAAGGTACACGTGAGGCCACTCATTCGAGCCTTCAATCATTATATCTAACGTGGCGGATGGCCCGACGTGTCAGACCCTTTTCATATGATCCCTGTGCCCTGTCTGATGAGATTCCATGTAACGATCACTTCATGGCTGATTGCTGCTTTCCGACCCCTTGCCGATGGCTGATTACAGTGGCACAAGCTCCAGTTGTTTCATTTCATGAACGGAACCGTCTTTTGAGGTTCAACAGGTGCCTTCCACTTTTCTCCCAAGCAGCTCACACGTCCTTTCGACTGCCCAGCCAGTCATGCTCCCCAAAACTCTGTCAGCAAATCACCTGTCAGGCTGTGTCACCTGTCAGTCTGTACACCCGCCAAAAAAGGACACCTGGTTCATCCAGGTTCCATGTCAACCACCTGACGACCCAGCTCCTGGTCAGGCTGTAAGGCGTGGGAGGCCAAGGACTGCTTGCAGATGTGCGAGCCCTGGTGTGGCCCTGAAACCCTGGTCTTGCCTTTGCAAAATGGCGTCGAGGGCCTGAGCACCATCCGAGACATCGTCACCTCCTGGGGCAAAGGCCATGCTCTCGCAGGCGGGGCGGGGCGGCTGGGTGAAAAATGGAATTCGAGAAGGGAACGAGGGATTCTCCCAGGGAGAATGAGGAAATGAGCCCACCAATAGAGATTCCTTTCGATCCATTCCCTCATTCCCTCCTCAGCCAGTTTTTGTTGGGCCGTTGCGGGGAGGGGTGTCACCAAGGGGTGAGATGACGTGCGCCTGTTACCTGTTGGGGAAAGAAAGGGAGAGGGCACGATTGGACATGTTGAGGCACGGAGGATGCAGCGGGAGTCATGACTTGTGACCGCATTGGACGCATATTCCTTACTTAGGCGGCATATAGGAGGGCCTAGGGGTAGGTCTGAAAGTTGCGCCAGATGTGTCGAAGATCGCTCGATTTGTCCTTCAGGATGCTGCAACATTGTGTCTGCCATTGCGGAGCCGGGGCACATCAAGCATTGGGCCGCTAACCCTCCTTACATCACTTTCGGAGAGTTCCTAGGGGCAGCCACCCCGAAAACTCTGCAGGTGAAGGCAATCTTGGATGCGGCCCCTGGCATGGACGGCAACTTGGAAGAGGATGCGCTGGCCAAGATTTGGGAGAAATTCACCTTCATTTGCTCCACCACTTCCGTGCAAGCGATCACAGGACCTCATGCCACCCAAGACATGATTCCCGCCATTCCGGAGCTGCTTGACACATGGCGCGCAGCCATGCATGAAATTGTTGCTCTGTGTCATAGTTATGGCATCAAATATGACTTGAAGCAGGTGGACCAACGTGTGGAGGCCGATGTTGGTGTGTGGAGGGTGTGGAGGTTGCCTGTTCCATGAACTCTCTTTGTGAACACGTGAAATCCACTGGGTGATGATTAGCTCCGTCGTTATGACCTTTTTGTGGATGTTCACTGCCGGGCTGCCATTCCATTGATGTTCTATGAGTCTATGAGTGTTCTTTTTGAGGTACAACTTGCGGTGGGGCTTTTGTTTGCAGCTTCCCAATTTCTGATCGTTTGTTAATTTATGAAAAACAGAGGCCCTTTTGGTGTGTGCTGCCGAAGCAGGCCTCCTACCTTGTGCTGAGGTTTACCCACACATCCAACAATCCCGGACGGAAGTCTTGTCCACTTTCATCTTTCTGGGAGGGAGAGTACCCTCACTCATCCATCAAAGCCTATTAAAGCCTCTCAGCAGGTAAATCCAAGAAATACCATCTACCCTGGCACCCCCAGTTTCCGCAGCCAGCCTGGAAGTTCTCGCCCTCTTCGTCCCTCCCCCGCTGTTCCGCCCGGGCGGCGATTTCTTGGGGGGTCGCCGCGTCGGCCTCGGTCACCGTGCCGTCGACCGGAGATCCAGGCCCTGCGAGTGGCCAAAGGCGCCAGCACCAGTTGCAGCCGGGACCTTTGGAGCGGAAAGCCCTCCGAGGTCGACGACTTGTTGGGCTCGGTGGTGCGGATGAGCAAGGAGCCGAGCTAGGCGTCTAGGCGTTTTGTTCGAAGCAGAGTCCGCAATACAGGCAGGTTCGGTGGAGGTGAGATTTACCAAATCAAGAAGGGTACATTCAGGGTCTGAATGTATAGAGGTGTTTTCGAGGTGTTTTTGAAAAGGTTGGTGTTTGTGAGCGTCATGTGGTGGCGACTTCCACTCCTGTCACCAACCTACGACTTCCAATCGTTTGTTCTCGGTTTTTGGTTCCTTCACCCTAGGGCTTCTAAGGACTCTTCACGGCATCTTTTTCGTTCCAGTTATCCCTTTCACTCATTTTGCACTCCTGACCTCCCAATTCACATGGGCAAGCATGGGCTTCCGGTTTGGTATTTTAGGTTCTCTTTCATCTCCAAGATTAATTACTTCTTTCTTTGTTCTTTTGAGTTCGGTCGATGCGACGTATGGTTCGGTCGGTGGTAATGGTAGCCGGTGTCGCCGCTCATTTGAGGAGCAAAAGGTGCCTGTGCCCACGATCTCTGCGTGCTACAGCGCGTTGATTGTGAGGGACCGTATCGCACGGGGACAAGAGTTGCCGATCCAAGTGCCGGAGGGGCAGAAGATTTTGGGGCCCAACTGGGGTCCTGCCTGAGGTCTATTTTCCAGCAATTCTTTAGTCCAGACTCTTGGCTTTGAGAGGCAAAGCTGTGAGTTTCAACATCGCAGTTGATTTGCCCCAAAGAAGACAGTATGATCACAACACTGGACCGAGCTGCTTTCAAACTGCTCGAGCCTGCTCTCTTGATCTCGCCGGTTCTCCACGTTGAAAACGAACGGATGGGCGCTGAAGGATGGAGTGACAGGAGGATGGCGCAGGGTGGGTGTTTGGAGCGGAGGATTTGATCCATCAAGTGGAAGTGACCTTGCGGAAGAAATCCTTTGGCCCAATGTTTGGCCCACCTTATTTTTTCCAAGATCCGTAGCAGTGATGTCTTGCGAATCACAGAGATGTCTTGCAGACAATTCACAACAGGAGACCCACCATGCCATTCTTTCCGTCCAATCTTCTGCCGGATCCTTTCTTTCATCTTCCCGTCATCATCTTCTGGTCGTTCTTAGTCGTTCTTTCTAGTGCTTTTCAACGTTGGTCAGGCAGAGCCTTTCAACGTTGGCGGAGTGGAGCCTCCAATCAGGCCGCGTCCTTTTCCTCGAGGTTTGGCCGCAGCCTTTTTCAAGGTGAAAACACGGAGAACTTGGCGATGGCGAGGTCCAGGGGTATCCATTTACTAGTAGTATCTTGTTACTAGTAGCAAATTAGCTACTGATAGCGATGCACTTGTTCCTAGTAGCGATGCCCTTAGCTACGTTCGTAGCTTCTTGTTACTAGTAGTAATGCCCTTGCTACTATAGTAGCGATGCACTTTGTTACTAGCTTCTAGCTACGGGTGTGCTACGATGTTCCGATCGTTTTTGCGGTACTGAATGGGCGAAGCATCGCAAAGCATTCTGTGGATGGGATCGACCTTCTGGAGAACTAGTTTTCTACAAGGCTATTGCTATGACAATTGATGATGAATATATAACTGAGAGAGTGTTCAGCTGGCTCTCTTTTTCTTCTACACGCAGATTAACAAACAAAACAACGAAAGACCACATCGTCTTGTCCCGATTTCTCCGCTAGCGAGTCTCGGTACCAATCCCACGTCGAACGCGTCCGCAACCCGCAGATCTATGCCAAGCATCGGCACAGCTTGAGTCGCCGGCTCTTCTTGGCCAAGTGCGCTCACCGGACCGAGCGGTGCAGCGGTGGGAGGTTCAGCCGGTGGAAACCGTGCGGACGCACCGGGTTGCGACCGTGAGGACCTCTTTGAGGTTTCTGTTGGCGGAAAAGACAGTCCGTCTGACAGATTCTAGGCCCAGGCAAATTTTTTTTAGTCTTCCAGATGTTTGTTTCTTTTCACAGTGGCTTTTTTTTTTCTGTTGGGTTTGTTAGGGTCCTGTCAGGGAAGAAGGGGTTGACCGTGCTTGAACATGGCCTACTGTACCATTTGGTAGATCCCAAGACTCGAGACGCAGCGGGGTTTCTGGTGGTTTTGCCCTGGTTCTGCTTTCGGACGATAGACAGTCAGATCGGCAGGGTAGGAATAGATCGCCTTTTATTCTGATGATAGACAGACTATCTATACATGCTGTAACCCTATAAAGAGAGATCGACCAGTTTGCACCACTGAAAAGCCCACCTCTTTGGGCTGGGCTTCACCGTGCTTCACTGCTTCACCCCGAGGCCGACCTTTGTGGAAGCGCAGGTCAAGGTCCATGAGGTGCTTCGAAGCTGGAGCTTCACCCGTGCGGGATGCCGGCTCGGTCGGTTTGGATCTGGTCTTCGGAAGCAGCTTCCTTCGGTTTGGGATGGACAGGGACGAGGCGGTCTGGACAGGGACGAGAGGTGCGCCGGATCGTTGCTTCGGAGGAGGACCGCCGGCTGGATCGTGACCTGACTGAGGTCTTTTGGTACTCGATCATCACAACAGTGCGATGGGTGCGATGGAGTGGATTTCTTAGAGCATCGAAAAGACAGAGCAGAGCAGAGTCGACCTCGTCGAGGCGACGAGTTCTCCCTCTTCAAAGGATTTCGAACCATGCAGATCTCAAAGCTGTGGCGCAAAATGAAGGAACCTTTGGCCAGGTAGATCTGACTCTGATGTGGAAAAGTCTGAAAAAGAGACGCAAGGACTTGTGCAGTAAAAAGAGGCTGGGCTTTTCCCGAGAAGCCCGGGGCTCACAGGGTCAGCTCATAATCCAACTGCATGGGTACCAGAACCAAGGGGTTTTGGTCTATTTTCCTTCTTCCAAACTTTGCAAGGGGTCTGAGGTCTCATTAATGTCAACCTAGGATTAGGGAACCCCCCCCTATTAGTCTACCCAGCGTTCAGGCACCAATAATAAACTAATTTGAACTACAGTACTAATTTCCACAATCACCACCCTCTAATAATTTTTTTTCTTGGCTGAACCCCCCCCCCTATTAGTCAACCCCCTGTCCTGCCAGGAAAAATATACTTATTCAAATATATATGTGTTTAATTAGTTTTATTCTTTTTTCCTTTTCAATATCTTTTGGTCCATGGTGAAACTGATCTTCTGATTCTCTCATCAAATTTGTGCCAATAAGCTCTCATGGATCTCATGATGAAAGGGAATTAGTATTTGGGCTCTCATGGATCTCATCATTCCATCCCATCTCATCTCCTCCTCCTGTCATCATCAGGTCATCCCCACTATTAGGGGGATGTGATCTCCAAAACCTCCAATCTCAGACCTTGTTGACCTTGTTGACCTTCTAGGGGGGGGGGGCCCGTTGATTAATCCGACGTTGACATTAGACAACAGCCAAACCCCTCACTGCCCTCCAGAGCTTTAGCCCAGCCCAGCCCGTGCAGAGGCTGCGACCCTTTTTGCAGCAGCAGCGTGAGCTCTGCGAGCACGCGGATCTGGATACCACCGCCGATGCGGCTCGTGAGGCCGGGGAGGTGGCAGAGGACGAAAAGGTGCAACAAACAGCCGAAAGGGGGAACCCCTAACACATCCAGCTTTTGGTAGGTCCGTGATGGGCGAAGATCCAAGTTGTGTGAGTATGGTGGGTGTACACTGTACACAGGGCTGAAGGAAGGAGTTCCAGTGACCGGGCTCAACCGAAGTAAGGAGGGTGGAGTCTTCCAGAGCCCACTCTGCTGGGCTCTGCTGGGCTCCTGGCCGGCAGCCTGAAGGCCTCAGGCGGCCTCAGGTTTTGCCTTTTCATCCGCAGCCTTCAGGTGTTGGATGAAGCGATCAAAAAGTTGATGACCAACACAGATGACTGGCTCAGTCAAGATGCTTCTTCGCTGCAGGGGCTACTGAAGAGGGAGGTTCCTGATTTCTGGCGTGGCAAAGAGGTAAACAATTCAGCCAGACGTGTTCCAGAGACTGTTTTTGTTCAGTGGACTGGAGAAGGGCATCCAACAAGCACTTGCAGCTGCGGCTGAACCTACCGAAGAGGCAGTTGGTTCGAACCTACTGAAGGGCATCCACCGGCGGAAGAACTCCTACATCAGGTGAAACAACATATATTAATACTATATGTTATACACACATATACAATCATATACATATGAGTATATATTTGGGGCTTCCACCCACTTTTGGTCCGTCGGCCACAAAATGCTCTTCCAACCTGATCACCTGCTAAGGCCAGGTTAATGAAGATGATGCGTGGTCGAAATGTGTCGGCGTGGTGGCCAAATGCGCGGCGCTGTGAGGGAGGGAACTGTTTTGATCCACGACGTTTGTCTGTCTGTCTGTCTGTTTGTCTGTCTGTCTGTTTGTTTGTTTGTTGGTTTGTTTGTTTGTTTGTTGTTTGTTTCCTTCTCGAACTAAATTCCATGCTCTTTCAGCTCGCAGCGTTTGTTTTCTCGTGAGCACCTGGTATCCAGGGTTTGTCTTGTCGAGGTCTTTGCCAAGCGACAGGCTGCAGAAAGAGAGGCCAGGAGGGGGACACATGAAAACCAATGAAACACATATGCTTTATTTGGAGATAGATAGATGGATAGATGGATATGATAGATCATATAGATCATATATAGATCATATAGTATCCATCTATATGTATATATATATACATGTTTTTAATGATGCTTTAATTAGATAGAGATCGATCGAATCGATGGATCCATCGAATGGATGGATGAAGACGCAGACCATCGGAACGGTTGGAACCATGGGGCCGCACCGCTTCGTTGTCAAACGGTGGTTCCTCGCTTCGGGTCTTTGAGCCCGCAACAATTCCAGGGTTCAGACCCGCAAAACCGGAAGAGTTGCTGCAGTTCACCTACTTTGGGCGTAAGGGGCACGGCCTTTTTGGAGTGCCCCTTTCGCAACCTTTTCCCTAAGTCACCTCAAAGCAGGGGATCGAAAGGTCGCTTTAAAGAACCAGGCAGTTCGGTTCTTTTCATGAGACCCTGTTGGATAGTTTTTGCTCTTCTCACGAGGCATACCGGAAGAAGTTGTGCGAATTCAATCGATCCCTGATTGGAAACTTCATCCGCCTGGTGGACGTCACTCTGGCTTGTTTGATGGCCAAGCTTAGGAAAAGCATGCGCATACGTACATGCGTGCGCATGCAGAAGTCAAGGAGGGGTGTCCCTGCTGGTTGGTGCCAGGTGATACAACAGAGCTGTTTGGTGGATTTGGTCGCAGGGGCCGCAGTTTGAGAGTTCCGGAAAAGCCAGTACTCTCGCAGCAAGAGAGAATCGCCGCACTGATCCCCCACATCGGGGGGGATGTTCGTTTCCCTTCGCATGTCCGACACGACGCTCAGCCTTCCACCTCTCGGATGGACCCGTGCTTGACCGGTCTGGCTTCCGGGTGAGCCGAGCTCGGCGGGTGTGGGATCCGAGGTGTCCAAGTCCTGGTACCTTCTGGATCGCTTCGCCCGGCCCGGCTGCCGGTACTCGTGTCGACACGAGCGTGTCGCGTCGGAGCGAGAGGTCGCATTGTCTTGAGAGGTTCGGAGGGGTCGGTGGGTGAAGAGATGTCCACGTCACAGGTCGACGTTCCGGAACATCATGTTGTTCGTGCCAGGTGACCTGGTCGTTCGCTCAATGTAGCGAACACATT